GCTGTTTTCATAATCGTCGCAAGCCATAATCGCGATTCAAAAATACAATTACTTGCACAGCCCTACGACAGTCTTTCTTCTCTGACATAATTGCCAAAAACAAAGCACGTGCCTTGTTAGCTACCGTCGACAGACTAACTAACCTCAGTAGCCTCTGAACTTTTATCCACCAATGACTTTGCCTTCTTCACTGACAACATTCAGAAAATCAGACAAGCAGTCAGTGCCTCTGCATCAGGTACAGCAAATGTGTTGTCTCTATGTCCACCTAAAATCAATTCAAACACCATGACACAGTTCCATCAGATTAATGATAAAAACCTAGAGGACATTATACAATATCTAAAATCCTCCTCCTGCTGCCTTGATGTTATTCCCAAAGGATTTTTCCAAGATGTTTTTCATTGCGTGGCCTCAGATCTACTTCACATAGTAAACAAGTCTCTTCACTCAGGTGTTTTTCTACAGGCTCTGAAAACTTCAGTCAGTAAACCGCTCTTAAAAATAATAATCTAGATGCTTCAGTAATGAACAATTACAGGCCCATATCAAACCTCCCATTTGTAGGTAAAATCATTGAAAAAGTTGTTCTTCAACAGTTGAGTAATTTCTTGCATTTAAATAACTGTTTCGATGTGTTCCAGTCAGGATTTCGTCCAAACCACAGCACTGAGACTGCTCTTGTAAAGGTCTTCAATGACATCCACTTATGGCGCATTTCCACTGCAGGGCCTCGTACGGTATAGCTAGGCCAGGCTCACTTTATGCTGCGTTTCCAATACAGTTTAGGAACTGGGGCAGTAACTATAGTAACGCAGTGTAGGCGGAGCCGTGACGTAATCTTCAACGTGAACCACAAAACCAACATCAGCTGTTAGCCCTCAGAGCTCACAGCTCCTCATATCTGTTCAGAAACTACCACAGACTGTCATGGCAAATACAGTCGCTGGTTTATTTATGTCTGTATAGGCCGTTGTTGAGAGTGTGGACGATCGGAGCATATACAACGTTAGCTTAGCCGATCTCCATTAAGAAAACACGCATTTTAAAAAGGTTTTTCGCCTGCCGTCTGTCTGCAGACTTGTCAAAGCATTAATTCATGGTTTTTACTAACCGGTATCAGTATGGTGTTACTTCAGCAAAACAGCTCCACCTGTTAGAAATCTGCTCAAAGATTGTTGGTCACCCTGTCAGAGACTTTCTGACTCACAGACCATAATAACCTGAGAGGCTGTCCAACAGCATCATCTCGGACCCAAAGCATGCTCTAACAGAGAATCTGAACTGCTACCATCTAAGGGAGATTCAATAAAGTCAGACTGAAGCATCCTTTGTGCTCCAGTCAACCCTCTCAGTAAACACAGAGCTGAATCCAGAGCAGATTCACGCTGAAGGCTCTTTGAGCAGCTCTCACTGATCCTGCTGTTATGTTACATGTTTGTTTCTCATGTATTGTGTGTCTTATTTGTCTATGATGATGTTACACATGGAGCTGCTGTGATGCAAGTCACATTTCAGACTTGATCTGACAATTAAAGAATCGCATCGTATACAACAACGTTCTAACCTATATCTAACCATATTGTGCATTCAAATTGTATATTTCAAAACAGGTTGTGATCTTTCATTTGGGGATAACAGTGTTGGGCATTTGTGAGGTGCAACAACATTAACATGAACCTTTCTGTTGGTCGCTTGTTAGCAGACCCTCCACGCGATAGCAGAGCGAACAGGTACAGCAAGCGAGCGATCATTGTCCACTAGTAAATCGATTGCAGATGGCGTCATGCTCGCGGACGGATACAAACAAAATAATAATGAATGGGTCGCAAAATATACTTTGGTGGCCGTTAAACCTGGGCGGCCCAAGTAAAGTCTATGTGTGGGAAACCCTGGACTTTAATTTTTAATTGAGCCGTCCCTTATAGATACCAGGGCTCGACATTAAGGGCTGCCCGATGGCCCGGGGCCATCTAGTATTTAGCTCAGGCAATGAAGCCTCACCTGCTGGTTGCCCGATCGGGCAATCTATTGTGCCAGTATCATGCAGCTCGGGGATCAGTGATGAGTGACCCGACAGTAAAACTAAACATATCTATAACTAGTTCAGGTAGTTTGAGAGGTAATTCAAATAGCTACGTGTGATATTCTAACCTGAAGTGTGTGTTTTGTCCACTCACCGCTGCATGTGATTATGCAGAGCTGCGTGTCGACTCGTCAGCAGCAGCTGATCTCTCTCTCCCGTCAGATTAGACTTCACTCGCGTTTATGTCCATATCGATCAGATCTAGCTAATGATATGACTACCTGCTTATTAAAAGACACCTAAACAATAAGTGTCGCTATGCAACTGGGTGAGGCCACAAATTATAGCGCAGCATTATGCATTTGTTTACATGCCCACCGGAACCCAGAGGCATTACCAACAGATCAACGCACAATCAACCCATACATCTCTTTCTCCACATTAAGTGTTACGGTACGTCCACACAGCCACCAGTTTCACCCACTGTCTCTGCCACCTCCCTCCATGCCTGGCTCCTCCGGTTTGTATCCCGTTAATAGTTCTGGTCGTAAAGAACCGGGTGATTTGCTACCGTAATTTCTCGTTTGGAATATGAGGAAATGAACTGCGGTCTGGTTCTCCCTGCTTACACGCGGTTTGATTGGCTAGCGCTTCTACTGTCAGATTTGCATAAACGGGATTTGATTGGCTGACGCTTCCAGCTCAGCTTCAAAAGTTGAACATTGCTCAACTTTTGAATCCTGAAAATCCTGGAAATCTTCGCTTCACTCCCCCACAATGCAGTTCGGCGAAAAGCGAGGCAAAGTGACGTCATCCCCATTCAAAGTCAATGGGCAATTTGTTTAAAGCTGCTGTGTGGACGTACCGTTAGACATTAGAATTGACTATTCTTGTCTGTCACATACTCTTCTTGTCTGTCACATAAGTGGCACAACTGAAGCGGTATTGCGCTAAAGGGAAATTATTTTGACCGGACATTTTGACCGAAGAGATTTAGATTTGCCGGCTAACGGGAACTCTGACGTCCCATTAGGCTTGTTTGAGACAAGCGAGACCTGCGCAATTGCGATCAACGTCTTGCTAGTGCGTTGCATGATGGTTAGTCATTTTGTCCGACTTGCTGTGGAGGCTCGCCTACATGAGACGTTGAAATCTCGCGGGACAAAGACGCCCGCAGCCTTGAGAGCGAGGCTGCGCATTTCCTCTCCACGGGCTGCGGAAGCGAAATGCTTGATGGGAAACGACTCGCTGGTATCTCGAGCTGAGCGCTCATTGGTGGTTTTTACCACGTGCTGGTGATGAAACTCTCCAATTGGCTCGGCAAAAGTTTGTTGTTGTTTTGTGTCAGTTTTACGTCGCCACATCCATTAAAAAATGTCATAATTGTTCCACATTATCATCATGAAATTAATATCTATTTTATACTATACTTGCACTGCTTACCGTTTTCATACTTTATATATCTTAGCATATTCATACACACTGTTCATACTGCTCACAGGCTGATATCTAGTGTATTCATACCCCTCACTGTTTATTCATCATTAAATTCATTCTATATTTTATTCTGTAGATTGTGTACATTACTTTTCACTTTACTGCTTGTTGCACATGGTTAGAAGCTAAACTGCATTTCGTTGTCTCAGTACCTGTAATCTGTGCAATAACAATAAAGTTGAATCTAATCTTGAGCAGGAACAAATGTATTTACTTAGTACATATCTGACATTAACGATTAAACACATGTGTGCATTCTTTATAAATGCAAACCGAGTCAAGCCGACTCCGGAGGTGGCGGTATGCACCTTAAAGTTGTTTGCAATCCGCCGAGAAGAAGAAGGCGAAGGCGAAGAAGAAAAAGGCGAAGAAGCCAACTCGGAGCTGTCCGACTTCAGGCGAGCTTTTTGAGACCTCCCCCGGCTGCGATCGGCTACTCTCGTCTACTTTCGAGGCGAGCCGCAACGCGTCTCAAACAAGCCTATTTTGTGTGCTTCGCGGATGCGCTCGGCTCCTCTCGACTGCTGCTCGACTGCTGCTCGGTCAGCTTCCGGATGAGGAGGCATTCGTTCGACCAACTTACAGTAGATAACATTACAAACATTTTTAACAGGGGCCATAATAGTGTAAATAATGTTTGTTTTCACAGTTATAACTGAATGTAATGTTTTCTACATCTGGGAAGGCATTTGCCTTCATCAGATGGAAAGTGTCTTGACCAACAACTTAAGTATTTCTTATATGCAGGGCGTGCAAGCGAGCAAACAAACAAGTGAAATGAAGAATAAAATTGTACAATATAATATTGTGGTGGTTCATCTTATAATTCAGTCTAGAGAATGCACCAGACAGCATCTAAGACCTACAAACATCTAAATGTTCTAGGGGGAGGCCCCCCCAAACCCTTCGTGCGTCATTACATCCGCGCGCATTTCTCAGGGCAATCTCTATTGGGCTCAGGGCCATCTGTAAATTAGCTTAGATGGCCCACAGGGCCATCTCCCAAAATCCTTAATGTCATGCACTGGATACTATCTCTTTACGTATTAGTGATGGGAATTCCGGCTCTTTTTGAGTCGGATCATTTGGCTCGGCTCACTAAGAAGAGCCGGCTCTTTCAGCTCCCAAACGGCTCTTCATGTTACCACAGTTTACCACGGAGCCTCAGTTTCGCCGCTCGCAGTTCACGCACGTGCTCCACTAGCACCCCCAAGGCTCGCCGGCAGTACACTTTCCGTCACAGGAACACGCTTTGCTGGCGGTGAAAAGAATCCCACCAGACTCCTTTGCCCCTCCAACAGAGGGATGTCCTTGTCCTTTTTCATTTTCATAATTTCAAGCGATAAAATCTGTTTTGGACGCCCTTGGCTCGAGTTCGGGGCGTTCCAAGCTGAATAAGGGCGTCAAATGACGGCAAGACGCCCGCCTGGCGGAAACGCTGGAATTAGGAATATATTGTGATGAAGTGCACACTGACCTGAGCTCCAGGGGTCTCTTTGTTCTCCTCCATGCTGCTCTCAGTGCTCCTTCTCCGGCTGGGTCTCTGAAATAATCAACACAACTACAGCTGACACAAAACAAGACAACTCGATACAACCGAAAGAAACACAACAAAACTAATCTACAGCTACTTCGTAGGTTCATAGCAGAGGTGAGAAGTAACTAAATACATTTACTCAAGTACTGTATTCAAGTACTATTTAGAGGTACTTTTACTTTACTTGAGTATTTCCATGTAATGCTACTTTGTCTGTGACAATAGGAGACAGTAATAAAGCTGCTTCGCTGAAGAGGAGAAACTCACAGCTCCAGGACTCTGTCAGTCAGGAGGAGACTAGAAACAACAAGTCAATAAACTGAGGATTCCTCCTGTAACATAAAGGAGTTACCTAACAGAAACCAGTATGCTAACGGTAATAAAGAAGAGTTACCGTACTAAAACAATATGCTGAAGGTAAAAAGGGAGCGTTTACTCAAACTAAACGGTATGCATATAACTTATGAATAGGGTTGGGAACCGAAACTCGGTTCCAGATGAGAACCGATAAGAAAATGCCGGGTACCGGGTACCCATACAAAATACACAATTTCGGTTCTGCTTAACGGTTCCTAAACGCGGTAGACCCTGTATTCCAGCGGGTCCGTCTGCGGAATACAGGGCGGACCTGGAGAATCACAGAACGGCCGGTCGTCAGCGGGCCGTTGACGGCCGGCTCGGTACGCTGACGGCCGGCACCGCCCTTCATTTTTTTAAACGGCATCATATAAATTGCGCTGACAGGCGACAGAGGTCCACAGTTGCCCCGCAGCGATGCTCCCCCCGCCCTCCCGTAGACATTTCACGAGCTCAGTCACTTCATAACACCAAAGATAGGTCGCGGTAAACACTCTGAAGTGAGGCTCCACTACACTAAAAAAGAAAAAGAAAAGGCAAAGTGTAATGCCTGTTAATAGCTTGCCACAGACATAGCTCAGTTAAAATAAAGCACAGCTATTGTGCAATACATTTGTATTGCATGTATATTTTTTAGTAACAATTTCAGTTAAAGCTTTTAAGAATAAATATATTTTTGTTATCTAAATGTTTGACCTCTTTATTTTACAATTTTGGAATCGAAACGGGGAATCGATAAGAACCGGAATCGATAAGCAGAACCGGAATCAAAATCGGAATCGATAAATTTCAAACGATACCCATCCCTACTTATGAATATACTGTGGGATAAATAATGTTATAGAAAGTAATTATTAAGGTATTTCCTCCACCTGAATGAGAATAAAAAAATAAAAAACACACACACCTTTTAAACTGGAAACACAGAGAAGACCACAGAGCTGCTTCAGGTGGAAAACTGTCAGGAGTGAAGAGGAGGAATTCAAAGAGTTTATTCAATGATATGTTCTATTTCTAGATGCTTATATGTAGTGTTTTATCACATCATGTGCAGTGCCTTGTCTTATGCTGCTGTGATGTAAACATGTTCCAAATTGATCCATTTAGTCAATGTGATGCTAAGCAGAGGAGAAAATTATAGAAAGGTCAGATAGTTATTAACAGGGGTGCACATAACTTTTTTGCCCTGGTTCTCAAAGGAGCACCTGGAGATGTTGCTTGGTGCGCATCCTTAAAATGAAATAAACCCTCTCCTTTCTCTCTCCTATCTTTTCTCTCTCTCAATGTTAGTGCGCAAATGCGCCTTTTTTCAAATGATCCGGTGCTCTTTTTTGGCGGGGGGTGCGCAGTTATACCATTACGATAAAAAGTTGGTTTTCTGTGTAAATTATTATTAATATAATACAAATATTTAGATATAATTCATCATAATCTGTGTAGCAACTTACATTCTAACTTACAGCTTGTTCACTTTTATTTCATTAAACTGACTTTATTCACATAAATGGTTGTTTGAACCACGGTTATAATGCTATCATTAACTATCACTAAGTTAACACAGAAAGCAAACATTAGCTAGTGAGACTGTTTAATGTACTCCATGTATACAGTATTTTCTGTATATGTGTTTATTTATTTAAAGGACAGTGCACATTAATCCACATTGCTGTAAATGAGCCAGTATTAGCCAGCAGGCTAATTTTCAACTGTTGTCCTTGGCAAGATGTTAAATGACCACAACAAGACAACTCTTTAGATACTCTAGTGATATGTGTCCTGTGTGTATACTTGCTGCTAATGCTTCATTTTTATGATATCTTATTGTATCTTTTAAATAGGTTTAACTCGTGTAATGCCTGAAAACACTTCTGCTGTGACACAATCATTTCTCAGTTTAAGATAAATAATTATTTAAATAAAGTATATCTATTTATCTAATGAGCTAAACCGTCGCTTAGCTTAGCGTTAGCTGCTAACTGAAGAACCCCATTAATTTCAATGGGAAACATGCTACGTCACGGTAAATGGCGATGCTAATAAGCTAGTTAGCATATATTTAAAACCATATCTATGGTAAAGTGCACCAACACAACAACTCAAACTGTCTTAAAGACAACTGGTGTAATAAATAACTAACATAAAGTCAGTTGAGCATTACAAATCAACTGTTACTCACCCAGAGCCGAACTGGAATAATAACTGTAGCTGTTAGCTGTTAGCTGTTAGCCATTAGCTGTTAGCCGATAGCTTTTAGACCGTAGCTGTTAGCCGATAGCTTTTAGCCTTTATTTAAAGATAATTTGAGACTATTTTTGGCGCACATTTAAAAAAAAATGTGTGAGTTTCTTTCTTCCAAGATTACAGCTGTTGTGTTGAATAAGATAACTTCTGATTCGTGATTAACTGTAAGCTAAGCTAACAGGTGTAAATACACTTAATTAAACCTCTGCAGATCTTTAATCCACTCACCTCTTCGTCTTCCTCTTCTCTGGCTAGTTGCACGGGATGACGTGTTTCAATTTCCGGTTCATTAAGTGTGTTCTTATCAAGCGGCAAACTGTGGGGTCGAGCCGGTGTCAGTACCAGATATGTTCGGCCTACCAAATATGTTCGGGTGTATTTCCGTCGCATCCGTCATCCGTCATATCCGTCATATACTCACCTCCCTCTGCTCCCAGCGCTATGCTGCCACACACCGGCCGTCTGCGGAACTGCAGCCGGAGGAACTCGGTACAGCTTGTTATGTGTGAACGATCTAGATCCCTCCGCTTCCCCATAATTACCGCGACCATTTTAACTTTCATGACAGAAATGGAGAGCTTTTATGCTGAGATAAAGCAGTACGTGCTCAATGGTGGTTACCACAATCTCACCATCGCCGCTGAAAAGCATGATAAAAGGAAGGCGTTAATTCGGAGGGCATCCAAACAATACCTGATCAAAGGTAAGTAACAGAATAAGACCATGGTTAAGTCACGAACATACGTTTTTATTATGAGGTATAAACCCCCTGTACATGTGACATCATCACATCCCTTTACTTATAGGGATCAATAAAGTATATATCTATCTATCTATTTATCTAATGGTGTTTTTTGGTGCAAAAGTGATCATACCTCTAATGGTTTATCATATTGCAATTCCAACATTTTTCAGTAAATCGCAAGGACTCCACAGCTTGTTTCTCCTTTTTCTTTTTATACACACTTTACATTACTGTAGTTGTTACGTCTAAACCACATTTGCCACTGGATTTCTTGAACAGCTTTTAGTCATAATGTCATCTCTACACATGTCTAAATGATTGTTTTGTTGTTCCTGTTGTGCCAGCTGGAGATTTGTACTACACATACAAGGACAATGAGAGGATGGTTGTGTGCACCAAGGACCAAATTATCAATGTCCTGAAGGAGTGCCATGATAACCTGGGTTCCGGAGGTCATGCAGGGAGAAGGCGCACCACCGAGAAGGTTTTGGCAACGTACCACTGGTCCACTATGCGGGAGGACGTGAAGAAATGGGTGGGAGTTTTTGACTGACTGACTGATTATTGATCTACAGAAATGTGTTGTATGTGTACATTGAAACAGAGTGAGACATGTGTGGATCTCATTGGCCCACTTCCCTCCACTGCTAAGGGCAAAAGGTACTATCATGATGGGCTGAAGCATGTGTAACCTCCTTTAAAGGTTCTAAACGTGAAGAATCTGGTTTAAAAAGAAAGGAAATCATTTACAGTGATTCTGTATGTATTTACAACATTCTGCATTTTATATTGCAGATACATTCTAACAGCGACTGATCTGTTCACGAAGTGGGTGGTAGCAAAAACGCTCTACCACAAAACAGCTGTTGAGGTCTCAAAAAAGATTGTAAATATTCTTCTCGATTTCGGTCTTGTCGAGAAGATCATTACCGACCAAGGACGGGAATTTGTCAATGAGGTACAATAATCTATCTAATACAGTGTATGTGTTATGTGTAACAATGTAATACGATTTTTCAGGTAATTTGGTAATTGGTGTACACTAAACCATCTGCAGGTCAACCGTGGTGTTTTTGATGCACTGGGTGTAAAACACTGCATCACTTCAGCGTACCATCCCCAGTGCAATGGCCAAGATGAGCGTACAAACCAAAACATAAAAAAAGCACTTGCAAAGTACTGTGGAGAGGACCAGAATGACTGGGATTTACATCTGAGGGGCATTGTGGCGAGCATTAACACCTCAAAGCAGGTACAATGTTGTAACAAATGCAGATGGAAACAATACTCAACAGAGATACTAAAAGGAATTTTTATGCTTTCAGAGGTCAACCAAGTGCACGCCCTATTTTGCCCAGTTTGGGAGGCACCCTCGCGTCCCGGGTGTTATAAATGCTACAGTCAATGACAGGGATGATACCTCTGTTTTGGTGCCTGCTGATGAGGCAGAACAGCAGCTTGAGGCAAAGGCTGCAACCATTGCAGATTTGCACTCGAAGGTGAGAATAAAATGGCAATATTTAAAACATAATAACTCCTAAAAAATGCAAGCGTATGTTAAGGACTGTAAATGATAACTGTTACATATCTTTCTCAGATTTACCAGAACATCCAAATAGCACAACAGAGACAGAAAATCTCTTTTGAAAAACGCAAGGGAAAGAATGTGAAATCTTTCCTGATTAACGTTGGAGATGAGGTCCTAAGAGCGAATAAGAGGAAGGAGGGCCGAAAAGGTGGAAAACTGGAGTGCAACTGGTTTGGCCCTTATGTGGTTTCCTCAATCACCAACAAGGGTGTGGCAACCCTGTTGAGCTCAACAGGAGCTCAGCTGAGACAGAGTGTGAATGTGTCTCAGCTGAAGCCCTTTATCAGGCCTATGTTGAGAGGTATTTTGATTATCAATACAAGGACACATTTTAGGTATACTTCATGTGTGGTACTTCAATAATACTGTTTATTTTTTGTCTATCTAATAACAGCTGAACCGAAGTTGGATTCGGAGGGGTCAGTTGCTGACCACCAGTATGCCCTCTCTGGTGCGAAATACGCAAAGGATCTACATCCGATTCAAGACAAGCTGGTAGATATATGTTTACTTCATGCACAGTGATGGAGGTGCATTGTTTTGATTTTAATTTTTCTATGTTTTCTATTGGCTTGAAGTATGTTTTGCAATCTGTTATTTGCAGCTCAGCTATGTGCTAGACCACAATAGGCCTGGAGCAGAGGTCATTGTGAAGGAGGGTGATGTGTGCCTGACCAGAGAGGACTTTTGGAGCCTGGGTCTTCCTCAGTGCATGGAGTCAAATGTAGGTATACTTGAGCTTTCCTCCCAACTTCATCTTGTCTCAAATAAATGGCACAGGTAACTTACTGTTGTTACTGTTTCAGATTGGAAACACGTGCCTGAAGATGGTACAAGAAGCCACCCAAAGACATGTACGGTTTTCAACAGACATCATTGGCCTGCTTTTTTCTTTTGAATAACACATATTTTCTAAATAGCTGTTTAGTGGTGAAACTCCAATCTCGTGAAGTGTGGTTGTCTCTTGTTGTTGAACATACTTCTATGAAGATTTCATTTTTTTTGAAAAACTATCAATATAGGGCAAAGATATATACATCGTGGATATGTATGTGGTTCCTACCTGGAAGTCCAAAACAGCTGACGTGTTGGCCAGTTTTCCAGTAAGTTCCTGTTGCTTGAGACCTATGTTTCTTGAAATTGATATACAGCAACTTAAAATCCCTTGTTTAAAATACTAGGCTGACCAATTGGCCACCAAGGACATGGTTTTCATCCCTGCCTGGAGTCGGCAGCAAGGAAAGGCAGATCACTATTTGCTTTGCGTGAGTCTGTTCCAAATGATCTCACCAGCATGTACAAAATGAACATAAGTTGTGCTGTGTGGTTTTCTTCTGGTGTTTGATTATGTCTAATTTCAGCTATTTTGTCAATGGTTGACAGGTG